CCACCCAATTGGAATAATATCAAGAGCTACATTTTGAGGTCTTGGGGATGACTGGACTCTCGAGTCGTGCATTGAATCCAATTGGAGTGATATCAAGAGTTACATTTTAAGGCCTTGGGGATGACTGGACTCTCGAGTCTTGCATTGAACCCAAATGGAATAATATCGAGAGCTACATTTTGAGGTCTGAAGGATGACTGGACTCTCGAGTCTTGCATTAAACCCAATTGGAATAATATCAAGAGCTATATTTTAAAGTCTTGGGGATGAGTGGACTCTCGAGTCTTGCATTGAACCCAATTGTAATAATATCGAGAGCTACATTTTGATGTCTTGGTGATGACTGGACTCTCGAGTCGTGCATTGAATCCAATTGGAATGATATCAAGAGCTACATTTTAAAGTCTTGGGGATGACTGGACTCTCGAGTCTTTCATTGAACCCAATTGGAATAATATCGAGAGCTACATTTTGAGGTCTGAAGGATGACTGGACTCTCGAGTCTTGCATTAAACCCTAATGGAATAATATCAAGAGCTTCATTTTAAGGTCTTGGGGATGACTGGACTCTCGAGTCTTGCATTGAACCCAGTTGGAATAATATCAAGAGCTATATTTTGATGTCTGAAGGATGACTGGACTCTCGAGTCTTGCATTAAACCCAAATGGAATAATATCAAGAGCTTCATTTTAAGGTCTTGGGGATTACTGGACTCTCGAGTCTTGCATTGAATCCAATTGGAATAATATCAAGAGCTACATTTTAAGGTCTTGGGGATGACTGGACTCTCAAGTCTTGCATTGAACCCAATTGGAATAATATCAAGAGCTACTTTTGAGATCTTGGGGATGACTGGACTCTCGAGTCTTGCATTAACCCCAATTGGAATAATTTCAAGAAGAGTACACTGTCAAAGACCATGTGAATGTCGTATTCTTCATAAATGTCTGATTGTGAAAGATTATCATCCACTGGTCTTAATGCACCTTTGAGTCCGTCACTATGATGATATCCGATAAAATCACCGACAGTATATATTGATGTAAAAATAAATGTAAATACGCGTAGTCGTGAACTATAATAAGTAACATTGTCATAGATAGTTAATAGACAGGTATATTTATGTACATTGGAGAAGGTCATGTTTAGTATCCGTAAGACCCATAACCTGTAGTGTATAAGAAATCTAAGGTGTTGAGCGGCGTGCCTTGTGCATCTCAACATACTGACAACTATGATGATTTCAACAGTATCACCCTAAAGAAAAGTTATACCTGTAACAGTTCATGCACTGAAGGAAGATTGAAAGAAAATAAGTATATATATATATATATATATATATATATATATATATATATATATATATATATATACATATTTAAAGAGAGAGAGAGATATATATATATAAAGATATATATATATATATATATATATATATACACACACACACACACACATATATATATATATATACGTAGTCAAGATGGGATTGATTGTATTGTGTGCACTGTCTGGCCTGTATCTCTACCTGGCCACAGTAGTGCGCACCACATACGAGTACCGGTCTCGTATGATACAAACATACTGTGCTTGTGCCTTGATGGCGTATTTGCCCACTTTTCTACCTAAATACCAACTCACATCGATAACCATAAGTACATTTATACTCAATCTAACACTTCTATCACAGCATGTACTGCTCAGGAACAAACTCCCCACAGCGCGTAGTTTACAGTCTAATCTACGCTTACATCAAGCAGGTGTATCCAGCACACACCATAATAAGATCACAAGCCCGCTCACAAGCACCCACAGAGGCCAAACCACAAGCAATAAACCAGGCATAGGAAATAGACCTCCCGTGAATGGAGGCGCAATGAGTCCTGTGAGTGAGATGGAAAGAGACAGAGACGCCTACGCACCCATTGACACACGTAGAGATAGAGAGAGCTTCTCACAGCACGGAGGTTTGAGAATGACGCATAGCACACCGCATTTGATGGCTGTGCGAGTGAACAGTAATTCGATGCAGTCGGGCAATCTGTCGAGAGAAAGGGAAAGAGAAAGAGACCGCGAGAGGGACCGCGAGAGTATGGGCACCCACTTGCAGGTGTGTATGTGCGGTTGAATACTTTATTTGATAGTTTTAGATGAAGGTATTTTGTTAATAACTGTGTTTGCGTCTGTTTGCATATGCCTGTTCACTGGATTTATTGCAGCGTGGAGCTAGCGTACTGCATTCCACTCTGCCAATGATATATTGTAATGATGGATTGAGATATGATCGATGAAGGTGGTAAACCCCTACATCTAAGA